TAGTTCAAGAGTCATATGAAAAAGAGAGTATGAAAGGTCTATGAACAATGCCAGGTACGATGCAAATTCTGAGTTACGTTACTGTAAATTATCATACAATATGCCTTTTTTTTTTAGAAACTTAATTGAAGTGCTCATGATGATTACTATAAAGTTAACCTCTACAAATTAGGACATTTTTCCCATTTTTCATTGCTTAAATGTGAGCTAAGCTTAAGATGGTGATGAGAATTGTGCTCACTTCAGCCACAAATAGATTAAAATTAGACCCACACAAAGAGGATTAGGATTAGCATGACCTTTACCCCACATGATTTGAAACAGTGAAAAACTTCATTTTCCTTGATTTTTAGAATCCTATTCCCAAGTTTCATACTTCTTTCCTTTTATCAGTGGAATAGTCTTCCTTAGAACTCTCATCCTCTTCTAGCCAATAAATAAAAATTTAATTTCCTTAAATGACTTTTGCTCTAGCATTGAGTCTTGGTCCCTTCTTGACCACCCAACTAGGAGACTGAGCCTACCCACGATTTCTGGAACACAGTGATAATAACAGGTAGCATTTACTAAGTGCCTACTCTGTACTGGGCACTCTTCCCTATGATCTCTGAAAATTATAAAATTCAAACCTCACTTCAACTCTCCTTTCATCTCTGTAAAATGGGAATTAGAAAAGAAGAAACTCAGGAAGGTTAAAGCTTTTGCTGAAAGTCACAAAGTAGAGGCAGGGTCCAAACCCAGGAGTCTGACAACACAGCTCTGCTACTGACCACGGAATTGTAAGCACAGCTTAATGGATTGTAAGGCAGCAAGAGGGCTCCCCCGCGCTCCAGAAACTTACCTTGAGTACAATGGGTAGTGGGGCCCAGGGCTATGAGAGCAAACACCAGGCTGTAGGACTGCACCTGAATCAATCATATGTCACAGTGGGTCACCACCACCGATTGGGATACCAACATCTAAAGTAGCCAACCGAGGGGAGGCAGGTGCTGACATCCAGGTAGCCATGAAGCAGGGAGCTACTGGGGCCAAAGCCATTTGCCATATACTGAATCCTCATGTATTTTGTTCCATCTTCAGCAGAATGGAAAATGATCTTGTCTTACTCATTTCCCTCCATCCCTGAAAACTCCTTCAATACAGATCTGGATGTTTAAGTATGGTATCCCAGATTAGATCCTGAAGCAGTAAAAAGACATTAGTAGACAACCAGTGAGTTTTGAAAAATTCTGTAGTTTAGTTAATATTAATACACCAACATTAATTTCCTTGTTTTGACACATCTCTTGGTAATAGAGGATGTAACATTAGGAGAAGCTGGGTGAAGTGTATATAGGAACTCTGTACTTTGCAACTTTTCTGTAAACCTAAAATTATTTTTAAAATTAAAATATAATTTTAAAAGACCCCAGTTTAATTATTTTACGATTAATTTACTGGGTCCAGTGAGTTAATCTACTGCACAATTTAAGTAAATTTAAAGTGATTTTTACATTTTTCTAAAAGTTTTTTTTTTAGATTTTTTTTTTTATTTATTTATGTGAGAGAGAGTGTGTGTGCAAGAGCGAGCAGGGGTAAGGAGCAGTGGGAGAGGGAGAAGCAGGGAGCCCGATGTGGAACTCAATCCCAGGACCCCAACATCATGACCTGAGCCACCAGGGTGCCCTGATTTTTACATCTTTCTAAGACGATTGTTACATCATACATCAGTGAAAAGAAAAGAACTGTGTTTACTGACAAAATTCAGATTTTGAATTCAGGAGTAATTAAAACTATCTTTTCAGGATAAAGACAAATATTGGTTGAGAATGAATTATGAAGTTTCATCTTCCTAACAAAATGACCAGAGCTTTGTACTACCATTGACAAACACAAAGGAATGGTATAGTCAGCCACCAATATGACTTCCCTAACACAAACTGCCTTCTCACCTGTTGACATCCTTAAATCCCAAGTATCATAACCTGGCACATTTCATAAACAGCAAAGAGAAAGTAAAATAACGAAAAATTACGTACATGAGCCAGCCATAATTATACTACCACGGACAGAACTCTGTAAGACTACTCAGATAGGACAATTTTGCATTACAAGTATCATTTTCCGTAACAGCCCTGGTAGAGAGTGGAACGTGTTGTGTCCAGGGCTTCTGGCTCTTAGCTCAGATTTGAAGAACAAATCAGAAAATGACCAGTGTTGCAGTCAATGTGATAGTCATCTGAACATTCTTCCCAGATTTTGAACAGTTGTGTCTTCAATGAGATGCTTTTGTTTAAACGCTCTTGTTTTTCCAGGATCAAAAAAATTTACAACTCTCTGGTTGCCTAATCAGATCTCACTTGCTCTGCCAGCCGCCACCAGCTCCTTCTCAGGAAAGTGGGGGTTCCTCTGAACTGAGATGACTGGCAGTAGCAATGCTAAGCCATCCGTAACTGAAGTGACCTGCAGTATTCACTCCTGCCTTGTGTGGCCCGTCAAATCCTGTGAACTGGTCCTGACAAGTGACCGGATACTTTTCTTCTGCTCACCTTAAGCGGTCTCTATCTTTTCAAAACTAGTGGCACATAGCACATACCCAGGGAAGAGAATTTCTTAAAGTTCAAGGTACAAACTCTAGCACTAGAGGTTTTCTAGTGAGAAACAACCGTGCCTCCCACTGTTGGCTGTGAACGAGAAGCAGGAGAGAAAGCAAGGAGGGGCAGAAAGGAGGAAACACAAAATCAAGCTTCCCAGAAGCTGAGAAAGGGTCTGGCCAATTCGAATTTCTTAGACCTTCAAAAAAAGTGAAAAACGGATGCCAAACATGGGTTGCTAAACCACAGTATAGTTTAGATTTTTAAAGTTAATAAGTAAAATTGCAAAGTGAACAGCATTCTGATCTGGCAGCATGTATGGCTCATTCGTAAATGTCAAGAGCCTGACGTTGCATCTTTGCGACTATGGATCCCAAGGCCAGAATAGCACTAAGTACCCACAATGCACTCCCAGGCCTCAACAAAACAGAAATAAAAGTTTGGAAAAGTGGACCAAAGAGAATGCAAAGAGTAGAGCAGCAAGAAAGCCAGTAAGGACATCACTACCTTGGAGCTCCCATAAACCCAATGCCAGGAGAAAAGGTCCAGAAAGAGAATAGAAAAGAAAAACAGGTGCAGCGGAAACTTATAGCGGCCTCAGATGCACTTTAAAAGATGTTCTGGGGATTGGGGATCCCTGGGTGGCTCAGGGGTTTAGCGCCTGCTTCTGCCTGCTTCCGCCCAGAACGTGACCCTGGAGACCCGGGATTGAGTCCCACGTTGGGCTCCCTGCATGGGGCCTGCTTCTCCCTCTGCCTATGTCTCTGTCTCTCATGAATAAATAAATTAAAACTTAAAAAAAAAAAAAAAAAGATGTTCAGGGGGGCAGCCCGGGTGGCTCAGCGGTTTAGCCTCTGCCTACAGCCCAGGGCCTGATCCTGGAGCCCCAGGTTCAAGTCCCACGTGGGGCTCCCTGCAGGGAGCCTGCTTCTCCCTTTGCCTGTGTCTCTGCCTCTCTCTCTCTGTCTCTCATGAATAAATAAAATCTTAAAAAAAAAAAAAAAACCTAAAAAAATAAAAGATGTTGGGTAACAGCTGCCAGACCCTCCTAGAGTAACGGCAACGGCAAGGAACCGAATTCCCAGGCCCTTCCCAGGCCCGTGCCTGAGAGCTGGCAGCGGGGTCCCGTTGTGCTCCAGGGAGGTCCTCCTTGTCTGCGAGGCGTTACAGGGCGCAAGCCACCTTCCCACCCGCGCCAAGGGGCCGCCCTTCCAGTCGCCCAGGAACCTCCAGGGTCCTGGGGGGCCGCTAAGGGCAGCTCAGCCTTGAGGGGGTGGGCGCCCCCCACGCCGAACCAGCGGCGTCTGCGGAGACACCGGAGGCCCCGGGGGAGGTCCGGGGAGCTGGGAGCTGGGGGGGGCGGGGGGCTGCTGTCCGCTCAGGGCTTCCCACTCGGTGGACATCCCTTCACCCTGACTGCAAATGATAATTTTGCAAAACGCTCAACGTCTCTAAGAACGTTTGATGAACCACGGCTCCGCGCTGTTCCGCAGCAGCTGTCCAACATGCTACTCAGAAGGCCCGGAACGGCGGCGTGGAGCGCGGCTCGGTCCACCGACCCTCCGTACGCTCCCCCACGAGGTGGGAGCCGCGGGCGGACACGCGGCCCGGGGAGGCGGGAGCCGGGAGGCGCGCGGGCCGCGAGCGAGGGGCGGCGCGTACTGCGCAGCTGCGGGTGGGCGCGCACATGCGCAGAGGCCCCGGAGCGCCGGGGGCGGGGCCGGGGCGCGGCGGGGGCGGGGCCGGGCCGGGGGCGGGGCGTCAGGGCGCGGGCGCGGCGCACGCAGCATGGCGTCCAACATCTACTTGTTTCGCCAGCGGATCAGCCGGTTCGGCCAGGTGCGGCCCGGGGAGGCACCGCCCCTTCCCGCCCCTGCCCGCCCCTCGCCTTCCGCGGCCGCCCCTCGGCGTCCCCGCCTGAGCGCCTCGGCCGGCGGCTCAACCGCCCCGCCCCGCCCCGCCCCGCCCCGCCCCGCCCCGCCCGGCGGCGTCCCGGGCCCGCCTCCCAGAGCCCGCGGCGCTCGGCCTTGGTCGCGGCCCGGCTGCTCGGCGTCGTCGGCCCCGTCCTCGTCCGCCCCGCAGCCCTGACTCTGTCTCCCTCCTTCCTCAGAGGATGTCCTCCTTCCAGCTCAACGTCAGCCCGCTCAAGGAGCCGCTGGGCTTCATCAAGGTGCTCGAGTGGGTGAGTGCAGCCCGCGCCCGCGAGGCCTGGCTCCGCGCCCCGCCGCGCCCTCCAGCCCGGGCGGGCCGTGCCCTCGGCGGGGAGGCCGGGGCCCGGGGCGGCGGCGGCGTTGGGAGCGGGAGCCGGAGCCCAGGCCAGGCGGAGGCCGAGGCCGCCCCCGCTCCCCCCTCCCCCCGCCCCCCGCCCCCCCCCCCAGGGCGGAGGCCGCGGCCCGCGCCAGGCCGCCCCCCCGCGCCGAAGCTCACCTCCGGGCGCCGCCGTGGCCGCGGGAGCTCTCGCCCCTCCCCGGCTGCGCGGCCGCCCGCAAGGCGGCAGAGGCGTCCCCGGCGGCCCAACCGAAACCCGGGCCGGCCGCAGTCGCGCTCCGGGGCCGCGCGGCGCCGCCGCCTCCCGGGGGTCTGCCGGGCGCTCCGCTCGCACTTTGCTCCTGAGAGGCCTCCCAGTTAAAAAAAAAAAAAGGGGGGGTAAAAATAGACTGTGGGGCGGGCGAGCGGGACCGGGGGGCGGGGGGGCGGGGGGGCTTTTACAGAACGCGCCTGGCCCGTCCGGTGCTCAGTCGCGGGCCGGGAACCGCCGTCGAGCCTGTTGGGGCCGGCGCCGAGCCGCGTCCGGGACGCTCTGGGTCGGTAACGCCGGAGGAGACTTCTAATTCGACCTTGGCCGCGAGGAGTCCGTGGCTTGGAGGAGCCGGCGGATGCACCAGGCGCGGCGCATTTGCCTCGGATTTCGCGGCCCAGCACATGTTTCAGGGCTGATTTTCTTTTTTTTTTTCCAGGCCGGGATTAACCGGCAGCTGGCATCTGTCCACTGTGCGGGCGCGTTGCTTTTATGGCCGGCAACATTTACATCCGTAGCTCTTTTAACCTTAGGTTTTAGGGAATCAAGTGGCGAAGGGTAAGAACTTCCAATTTCCTGTGTTGAATGACCCCACGGAGAGTGTTGTGGGGTTTTTTGTTTTTAAGTAGCACAGAAACTCGGATTCCCTCCTGGGTACTCAAGCTGGTTTTCGAAAAAAGGTTCCTACCATTCCCCCAAAGTTTTACTTGCCTTCTGAAAACTGAAATAGTGCTGATTTCACACAAACGTCTACTTTAAAGACACCTGCACATATGTTATATGTATTTTACACACACACACACACTTTTAGGGTTCTGTGAACCCAGATTCAAATAAAAAAGAAAAATTGAGTGTGTAAAAATTTGAAATTGCAGGAGGAAAATCATGTTTAGTTAGGCTTATCAAATATAAAGGTTAAGAGAAAGTCTTTTTTTTTTTTTTTTTTTTTAAGATTTTATTTACTTATTCACGAGAGACACAGAGAGAAAGAGGCAAAGACACAGGCAGAGGGAGAAGCAGGCTCCATGCAGGGAGCCCGCCGCGGGACTCGATCCTGGGACTCCAGGATCACGCCCTGGGCTGAATGCAGGCGCTCAACTACTACTGAGAAGTCCCCCAAGGATCCCTAGAGAAAGTCTTGTTGAGGGTTATAATTAAAGTTTTCACTTAATAAATGAGGCAGTTGTTAGGTTTGTGCTTATGTTATTTGTCAGTCTTTTTAAAAAAGAAAACATAGACATGACTTTTTTCCTTAATATTTTAAAACATCAGTGATAGATTTATTAGTGATCACAGGTCTGACGTATTTTGAAAAATACCCTGTTTAAGCTCTTTAAAGAAACACTACTTTCGGTTTGAACAGCGTAGTAGTACACAAGAGAACCTGATAAGTACTTTAATGAAAATATAGGCAAAGTATAGTGGGTGAAAGAGGAGAAGTCAGTTGCTTGGAGGAACTAGGGGGTATTTCACACATGAAAGAACACCTGAAGGAGGAGTACTTGTTCACTTGGGGAGGATGTGGGAGTGGCTCTCCAGGCAAAAGGAAACTTAAGCTCAGTGGTGTGAAAAGTTGAAGCAGCATAGCCTGGTTGAAAACTTAAAAGTAGTTGGCGTTGGTTTAAACTTCTGGGAAGGAGGGTATAGCCTGAGATGATCCTGAAAGGTTTCATAGGGCTAACAGAAGAGCTAGGAGTTTATCCTGTGGAACAATCTTAATCCTGTGGGGTTAACCTTTGATAACCTGGGTCCTTTCTTTAGGAAAACGTGTATTTTCAGGGTACAGGATTTGGAGTTGTTTATCGGGTACTTTCTACTTAAGCCCAGAATTCCTACCATTTGAAGTTGGGACTCATTTAACTGTTTTAAGCAAGTGAATATTATAATTAGGTTTCCTTTTTAGAAATTTTTATTTTGTCAGTAGTGTAGAGGATGGATTAGAAAGGTCATAATTGAAAGAAGGGAGATCTGTTGCCAGAGAAATTGTGAGGGCCTAAAGTTAATTGCAGTGGAAATAGAGGAGATTTGGAAATTAGAATGTATTTGGAGGGTGAAGAGGGGACAGGTTGGTAGTGGTACCTTTGTCCAAGATACATCGCTAAGAATCAGATTTTTGGTTGAAGATCAGTTTTAGATGTATTAATTTTGTGGTCTCTAAGTCATGTAAAGGAGGTATTCTTTAGGCAGTTAGCTATATGGAGTTTAATTTTTAAAAAGGCAAGAATAGGCTGGAGATTCAGCAGATACCTACCTACCAGCAAGAAGGAGAAGAAATAGTTAAGAAGATGCAGAAAATGATTAATAGTTAAGAAGATGGAGAAAAGTAACATCTTGGCATCACTATTAGAATTTCAAGAAATTCAACAATATCAGGAGGTGCAAGAGAGAGATTAAGTAAGTAAAATAGGGACTAAAATGTGAACTAAAATGTGAACCTTGGTTTTGGCGATCCAGAGGCTGTTGGTGGCTTTATTAAAGCAGTGTCAGTAAATTCAGAAACCAGATGGTAATAGGACAGATGGGTGTGTGGTAAGAAAGTGAGAATGGTGAGAGTAAACCACTATTTGACCTTGAAGGTAGGAGGGATTTTGTGGTAACTGAGCTTAAGGACGGGAAAGACTGCATGTGTTTGTGGACTTGAGAGAAGAAATTGTGAATAGAATTGTTGTAGGTTAAAAACAGAGTGAGAGGGGATGAATGATAAAACAAGGTTCTAGAGAAGGGGCCATTGTAAGAATTTTTTTTTTTTTTAAGATTTTATTTATTTATTCATGAGAGACACAGAGAAAGAGAGGCAGAGACACAGGCAGAGGCAGAAGCAGGCTCCATGCAGGGACGTGGGTCTCCAGGATCACACCCCGGGCTGCAGGCGGCGCTAAACCGCTGTGCCACCAGGGCTGCCCCGTTGTAAGAATTTTTAAATCTGTTTTTAATAAATTGTTCAAGTTTCCTAAAGCATTGAGGTGTGGCGGGTTACTTCTAAAAACAGTCAATAAATAAGTTTATAAACAAATCTAAAATCTAGGTGATGGCTGCTTACCATTCATATAACGGAAAAAAGAATTTCCTCAATCAGCTTATCTCTAGCAAGGTTCTAGAATATGTTAGACTAAGATACAATCTGATGATATGTAAATTTCAAGGGATTAGATGCCCAGTAAATAATTAATAACAGAATAAAAATATAATCACTGGAGCAGAAACTTTTGGACTTTGCTTCTAAACTGCAGCCACCATGTTGTGCATGTTGTATTCCTTCTCTTTTTCCTTTTTTTAACGATTTTTATTTATTTATTCATGAGAGACACAGAAAGAGAGAGAGGCAGAGACACAGGCAGAGGGACAAGCAGGCTCCATGCAGGGAGCCCGAAGTGGGACTCGATCCTGGGTCTCCAGGATCAGGCAGTGGCCGAAGGCAGGTGCTAAACTGCCGAGCCACCTGGGCTGCCCTCTTCTTTTTTTTTTTTACTCTACTCCTGGCACCTGGTTACAGTGCTTGGCAGTGACATTGTCTTCCCACTCTTTGTGTAATAAGTACTCAGTAAAGGTTGAGTTTTTGTTACACTTCTATGGGAATAGCAATACTTCGTAGGGCTGTTGGAATGATTGAGTTAATATTTAATTATGTGAATGATTATAATGTACTTGAATAATTCTTAGTAGGTTCTTCAGGACTGAGGTGCTGTGTTTCTAGGAAGACTAGACCCAGACAATGGATAGACTTGAGCCCCATATGACTAACAAACATATCGCCTAGTCCTTCAAGATTACTCAATTCTCTATCACATGTTTTAAACTTTAAAAATGATACATTGTGTGTATTTCACTTGTCTGCAAGTTTTGATAGGCCTTTAGGAGCCTATCAAGGTGACAATATAAAATTTAGGTAGGTGGGATCCCTGGGTGGTGCAGCGGTTTGGCGCCTGCCTTTGGCCCAGGGCGCGATCCTGGAGACCCGGGATCGAGTCCCACGTCGGGCTCCCGGTGCATGGAGCCTGCTTCTCCCTCTGCCTATGTCTCTGCCTCTCTCTCTCTCTCTGTGACTATCATAAATAAATAAATAAATAAATAAATAAATAAATAAATAAATAAATAAATAAATAAATAAATAAATAAATAAATAAATAAATAAAATTTAGGTAGGAATAAATGACCCATGTATACAAGCAGAACATAGAAGTAAAAGTCAAAGATTAATTTCATCAAAGCAGCTTTTTTTTTTTAAGTATTTAAGATTTTTCTGGTAAATTTTAACTTGGTTTTTATATTTAGTTAAATATCTCTAATATTTAGATAAAAGCTTTTCATTGAAGTGATTTTATATTTTTAAAATATTAAACACTGTTTTGGACTTTCTTGCTGCTATCTTGCATGGGGGGGATGCTGAACAAATATTTAGCACTTAAAGAATCTAAGCATATGCTATGGGGAGTATATAAGGAATTACGCACTAAGTTGAACTTTAGAATTATTAACCATCCCTGAATATTTTTGTCTGTCCTGGTCAAATGTATTCTAAGTATTAACATATTTGTTGAATATACATATATGTGCCAGGGCTTTATCTGTATTTTCTCATTTAATCCTCTAGCAACCTGTGAAGGTTGTTATCTCCATGTTAGAGAGATGCGGTAACTTATCCAGTGTCCATCATTATGGTCACTACATCCAGGACTCTTAACACTCTGTTCTTAGTCATTTTGATAACTTACCTTTGCATTTCTAATTGGTCTTTTGATAAATTAATAAATAGATTACCAAAAATTGCAGGCTTAGAAAACAAAAGCCTAATGTATCTCAAGTGATTTTTTTTCCTTGTTTGTTAGGTGCATGTTTATAATAAGATCTTACGAGTTAAAAACGAGTAGGATATTCTTGATTCTTTTATTAAGTTTGAATGTTTTTCTGATTTTATACTTGCAATTAATGAGCAAATGCAAAAGACGACATTTGAGAACATTACTTTGGGGCAGATTATTACCCAAGAAAATTAGTGTGAAAAAAAAAGTAAGAAAATCTTTAATTCTTTGGGTATTGCATATATCAATTTGTTTAAACAACAAACTTTCAAATATACACAATAG